AAATTGAAAGATACACACGAATCATCACTCATTATATATCCACCCGAGTCCGAGAAGGTCGTCGAAGTAAAATACTGTTACTCGGTCTTTAAAAATGGAAATATCAAACGGAATGGTTCTTTTATGGAAAAGTATGGTTCTCAAGTCAATATAGGAGAGATAGCCGGAATGGGGAAAACATCTCAGCTCATTTGTTTGAGATTCACCGATGACGAGATTGATAATCCGGAACGAACAAGCACTTCAGAGGAGAAAATTGACAATGATATCAATGATAAAACAGATGGAAAAAATACATCTAATGAGCAAGAATTCTTAAAAACGGCTAAAACGCCAGTCTACATAGATGACGACATTCCAAAGGAGATGAAAAAGGAAACAACACCGTGCAAAAACAGCAAGTTGGAAATGATCAATTTGAACGAATTTGTGAGGTCGAAGGACATCTTCCAACAACTGGGAAACTGGGTTGGAATGCGATATGGCGGAGTTGTGTTCGACAGTGAGGTTGACGCGATGAACAGTTCAACGTTTAATAAAAAACTCTCTGGTAAGAGACATTTGTATGTAATGCTACAGACAGAAAAAGGCAGGATAATTGGTTTATACGTATCAAGTAAGGTCAAACAAGCTGATCAAATACAAACCACTTTCATAGTTGATGACAAACATTTTTTGATCGAGTTCGATGGGTTTGAGCTGAAACGATACATAAAAGGCAAAACACGACGAGTGATGTCGGTTGAGTCGCTGAACTCAAAGTATATATTCGAGCTCAGTGAGGGGTTTTCAATCCACGAAAATGGTGAGGTTGTTATTTTCCCAGAGGAAAGAGTTGGTGAGAATTACAAAGGAATTGGAACAGTGGAACATTTTTTTGGTATCAATAAAGACGAACATGTAAAGATAGAAAGGGTGATTGTAATCGAAATGGGTGGAGACGAAACTGAAGTCACCAAATTTTACGGCGAGATGATGAAGTGTGACGTTGCGGTTGAGAGTTCTGGTAAGTGGAATGATTTGAGTCAGGGAAATCGACTACTAATCACAAAAACTAAAATTGTTGAAGGGCAAAAACACACATCCGATTCAACACAATTGTTTGCCTCGATAAACGAGGGGAACTTTCTTGATTTGTTTTCAAAGAAGATCAAGAGCAAAATGTATAAAATAGTTTTTGACTCGTCTGATATGGACTTGTGCGCAAAGGTGATCAACCAAGTCTTGGGAAAGACGAAGAAAACCAGCGTCTTTATGGAATTGGAAAATGGGTTTATTTGTGGTACCTACCAAGAAAGTTCACCAATCCCACTTGGCATTACCGAAAAAACATTTGTTTTCTCGACTGCTGCATTTGCATTTGTCGTGAAAAGCCCAACCTCGCAATCGCCTTTGTTTTTTGACAAAGTTTCCTCGAATTTGTCATACACCTTGCGGCCCGACGATAAAATTGGTTCTTTGTCGTTTGATATGCTTTTCACGATTAAGTCAACGGGAGAATTTTATGTGCAAAACAGAATGAGGGATGCTTTCAGTGGCTTAGGCAATGTGGAAAACTTTGCAGGTGTTGCGTATCCCCAAATATCCAAGTTGAAGTCGATGGTTATTATTGAGTGGTACTAGCTATACTTGTGATCATTGAAAAATTTGTATTATTTCACCAAATTTCAAACAAAAAGGCTCAAAATAAAAACTTACTTTGGAGCAACCTTCTTTTGGTTCGCGACAATACGATCGCCAAGGTTGATCGCAAGTGATTGTGTTTTGCTTCTAATCCTGATCCACCCAGATATTTTACCATTTACCGCTTCAGCAGAGATGTTGACAAGCGCGTCCTCGTCGAACAAATTCTTTGCATAGAAATTTGCAGACAAGAAGCCGATTGAGTCGCAAAACATGACGGTTGGTGTGATGCATTGGAGTTTTGCGATCGAGCTGACAAGGAACGCGTACTCCTTTAGGTCTGTGAGCTCGGTGTCGATTGGGATTTTGTTTTCCCACTCGTACTCCATCCACTTTTTCTGATAGACTTCTCTATCGCAGGGGCAGGGAGTCATCTGGTCAAGGTACTCGATCCTGAGCTCATTCAAAATGAGGTTGGCATCGAGTGCGTGATGTGTAACGTTTTTGTCTGAGATGTCGTAGTTAACATACCCACTGATAACACCAACCGTTGTCGCGTCAACCTTAACCCCGAGTGTCACTCTCACAAAGTCGCCCGGACCCAAAGTGACTGGGGCAGGCTTTGTTTTGACAGACATACCACCGTGTGGGATTAATTCAATGTTAATGTTTTGTAACGTGGAAGGAGTCTGATTAATAACCAAACAGTCCAACGTGATATCAAAGTGTGTCACGGTAACAACAGCTTCGATATAAAATGGGTCCGAGTATCCAGTGAGTTGGACAATGTTATTCAATCGCTCGAGTTTACGACTTTCTTTGATCTGTTCGATTCTTGAAGTGACGTCTTCCACTTCCTCATCGTCATTCGTACTGAACAATTCGTATCTAATTTTCTCATCAATTTGTGTGGTTTCCGTCTTATCACTGATCTTGGTTTTGTTCTGCATCTCGGCCGTAATTTCCTTCTCGATCTTTTCGCTCATCTCAACAACATTCTCCCCCTTCCCACTCAGAATTCCAATCGCCAACTTAACGCGTTCTCTCACATCTTCTGGGAGCTTTTTAGAACTCTGCTTCTCCACTTTCAATATCTCGATAATGATCTGCAATGCTTTAGCACGCATTTTGTTTCCAGTCGCTCCCGTAGTTTTTAATACCAATTTGATGACCCCACCAGCAATCACAGAAATGACCATCCCATCCAATTGGTTGACCAACTCTTTCAATCCTGAAATAGAAAATTCGTTGACCAGTTGTTCTTGAGTTTCAGTTATATTACTTGTTGCACTTCCATATGATCCATCAGCGAGAATGACACTTGTTGAGCTGTTTGTCGCCTTTTTCTCTTCAATTTGTGGTTCTGTTTCTTGAGTCTGTTCAACAAACTGCTCCTCTACTTTCTTCTCGACGATCAACTCCTTCAACGTTTCAAGCACATTTTCCTTGTCTTCCGCATACTCGCAGATCATCCAAATTACACTTCTCATCGTCTTGCTTTCTTTCACCTCAGAAATCAATTCAAGCAACTTCTCAATTGTGCTTTTCTTGTTTGCACCTCTGAGTCTCGTCTCAATATACCCAAGTACTTCTTTCGCCAATTCTGGCTCTTTTAACGCCTCAAACATGACTTCATCAATTTCAATATTCTCGTTGACTTCTTTGCACTTCTTTAATGCAGAGATAACGTTGATAACATACTCGTTGTTCTCTCTCACAGACTCTTTCTTCAATGCAGACGCAATCTCTCCCGCATTCCGTGGTGCAATCATCCCAATCACCATCGAAAGAACGTCGCCTCTAACGGCGTTGATTGTGAGCATCCGTAATAACTGAGCAACGCAATTCCCTTTCACCACCTTTTTGTATTTATTCGCAATCTGCTTAATTCGTTGGACTCCCGTGATCTTCACGTTCACATCAGAAGTCGCGCAAATGACGTCCACAAGTGTTTCAACACTTTTAACAACAGCGTGAGCATTCCCGGTGACCATAGGGAACAAACTCGCAGCTTCATATCTCACCATATCAGACGACCCCGTTAATAGCGCTGAGAGTATTTCAGTGTACTTTCCTTTATAAGCTGGCGTCGACTTCTGAATGAGTCGAATGAACTTCAGCACCGTCATCACAAACAGTTCGGAGAATGTTGTGATTTGTTGTGCAATCGAGACCAAGAACTTCAGTGCAAATTCCGGGAGGGTTTGTGTCAATACGGAGAAGATGCACACGCGCGCCGACGAGTCCTTTTCTTCCTTCAGTGCTTTTCTCAGTACATCGCCGCGTGTTCCAGCAGTGATGGGTCCGTCAAGTAAATGTGTCCGATCACATTCGCAGCCGCCTTTCTCACATAGACGTGTTTGTGTGTCATATTGTCGACAACGGCGTTGACCAATGGTTGTAAAATGCCACGTTCACTCACATGACACAGAAACTTCAAAGTGACGCCTCTGATATATTCATTCGGGTGGTTTAAGTCCTGTAAAAGACCGTTGATGGCCAAAATCAGTTCCGGTTTCAATTGGCCATTTTCCGTCTTTTGAATCGATTCCAAATAGATGAGGACAAGTCGTTTAATCTGGTGTTCCGGGCATGGCATAGCCATTCGAATCACTTCCATCAGCAATTCGGGATGGTGGTCACCATTCAGTTCCGCTGTGATGATTTTCGTCAGTGCAGAAATTTTGCTTTTCGAGACATCACTCCTCAATGATTGTAAGACGTCCTCCGCTTTGAAGTCGCGATATGGGTTGTTCAGAATAAGAGTACTCACGTCCTCCATGGTCTTGATTTTCGAGTTCACGTCTGTTTTGTCATCTTTTTGAGTTCTTTAATGATTGTAATAATTGTGATATTGGTGTTCTTTCCACCACCAAATCGGGAGATTATTTTCTTTTATAATAATTTGATTGTTTATTTTATTAGAAGTATTCTTTTGTGTTTGATTATTGTTGAATTGAGTATCAATTTAATACTTTCAATCTCCTCGTTTTTATAGTAATATTATAAATATTTAAACCATATGTTTTTAATTTATGATAAGGCAAAATACAATATAATAATAGATAAATTATGGTTAATAAATAGTACATTTTCAACACCATTTAATAACTTTAATAGTTTTAAAAAGTACAGTGTTCAAAAAACAAATTCTATATTAAAGAGTAAAAAACAACAAAAAAATACTAAAAATCAAGTCACAACAAAGTCAATCGATGATGAGCTCAGAGATCTTCCAGTCCTCATACGAACCGTTTGGGAGACGTCTTCTGATGATAAAAGGGATTTTCTTTTCTTTAAGTTCTTCCATAGCGATTTGGAGAGGGTCAGTCATTCCGTTCAAGTTAACGAAGACAGGGGCGTTCATAGAGATTTGTAGAGCTCTTGTTCCAAGTACTCTTGCCTTCTCGTATTTTGTCATGAACTTTGTCGTTGTTCTGTCGTTGCCTTTAATTTCCTTTGTCTCGACGTAATTGTCGATTCCAAGTTGTTCGTAGTCGTCGATGACGTTTTCTTGGTCTTCGGAGTTTTCCTCTGAACTGTAGTCGACGTCCTCGTTATTGTCTATATCGTTGTCTGAACTCATTTGCTTTAATCAGTTCGAAAGGGTTTCTCATTTTTTTCTTTTTTTTGTCTCAAATTTCTTTGGTAAATGTTTTATGAATTTTTATTGAACGCTACAAAGAACGTTAATTTAATTAACGTTATTTAAGTTTTATAATTGTATTGTTTTATTGGGATATGTGTCAATTATTTGATTGTTTCCCCATTTTTAGCCTTATTATTTTATTTAAAATAATAAACTTTTTTAAACGGGAATATTATTTAATAAACTCGAGATATCCCGATTTTATACCTCTGAAATAATTTACAATGATATTTTAAAATGCAAATAAAATAAGTTCGTTAATTAATAATTCTTCAAAGTCCTTACTTTGTGGTAATTCAAAACAGTGATATTGTTTTTGCGTCTTATTGTGACCCACATAGAAAAGAAGAAAAATCGATGCATATAACAAAATCATAATAAAAATTACTCACTTCTGTGCGGCTTTCTTCTCTTGTTCGTCTACCTTCTTATTAAGCTCGATAGCACACTTCTCAAGGGCGTTGTACCAGTCAAGAGTTGATGAGGAAGTGACGACATTGACCAACCAACTCGGGACGTACCCGTTAATATTCGATTGTGTGATAGTGTCATAAGTGGTGTACAATCTTCCATTCTTATCTTTAAACTCTCTAAATATAGTCGCACAAAAGAGTGTAGTTGCCCGAGTGAATGTACTATTTTGAGCTGGATAGTCTGGATGTTCCGAAGAGACGTCGATGACAAGTCGAGCGTCTGTTTGGTTCTCCTTCACTTTCTCAAGGCCTTCTGGGCCTGTGATTCTTCTGAAATGGACAAAATCGCGTCTTCCAAGGACAAAAGCAACTGATTTAGTTGTGATGTGATGCATAGAATATCCCTCTCCAAAGTCTTCGATTTGTTTCATTCCATCAACTAATGATTCCCACGACACTCGATTCTTTTCAACAAGAAGAGCATCTATAACACATTGAAGTCGTGTCGGAATAATAGCGTTGATCTTAAACTTCTTTATGCCAGTCTTCTCATCAATTTTGTAAAACAAATTGGCGTTCTCCTTCGACCCGCATGGTGTCCAATCCCCTTTCGATCCAAGTTCAGAGAAGAATACTGTCTCCTCCGCTCCAATTTCCTTCTTCATCGCATCAAGCTGTGCGGCACTGATCTTCGACCCTTTAGACATCCTCTTCTTTTTACAGTTTTTCTATTTCTTTTATTCATCTCTTTTCGATCTCGCTCATCATCCCGTTTAATCGCAAGAGGCCAGATGCAAACTCGGAAATTGTGGAGATCGCTTGAGGAAATATGTTTCTTGTCTTGTCAATTTAACTTTTTCATGGTTTTTATTACTAATATCCATAGTTGAGTAAAGTAAAAAAACCAACTTCTGGTGGATAAGGTTAATTATTGAGGATTTTATTCCACATTTACCCAAAATAATTACATCAAACATACTTTTTTTCTTTAAGTAACAATACTACATTTTTAATTTATTTTATCATTATTTGTTCTTATACAACATTTTGTTGTATAAATCCAAATTGTTGTCAATAAGATGATAACGTGGGATTTATTTTATATACTTATTATATATTAAATTATAAATTAAAAATGTTTTTAATTAAAATTAAATATAAAAATAACTATAAAATATAGTATCGGAATAATTAATTTTACTATATTAAATTATTAATAATTCAATCAAAAAATTTCTTTTCGAACTCATTGAGTGTCTCGACAACAGCTCTTGCACCTTTATATTCCTTTCCACCCCTTTTCAACTCATCGAAAAATATACTATCAGAGTAATCAAAATTTTCTGGCTCTTTTGATACGGAACGGTCATTTTGCGCAGCTTTTTTCCAGAACTTATGGAAACTGGTGAGGCAGTGTTTGAATGATGCCATATTATCTTCAAAAAATTTCATGAACTGTGGGATATACCTTTCAAACCCGAATGCTCTCAACGAATTGATGATTCGTGTTACTCTAAAGAAGTTGTGTTCGTTTGTGTTGAAGTTATCGAATCGCTCTAAACGCATTTTTTTGTTTGTGTTAACACGAATTTCCCCCTTTTCAAGGTCGACCAATTCGCCCCCCAAAAAGTCGAGAAACATCTTATAAAACCTGACAAACCGAACTGCAACCGCGGCGTCTTTGCGCATCTCAATAACCTCATAGGGGCTAAGTGAGAAACTGGACGAATTGAACATTGATTGTCCAAACGTTGGAAACAACCACTGTATGTAGTCGTGTCTTATTTCCATGAAAACGTACCTTTTTTCGTTGCTTCGGTTCATCAATTCAGAGTAGAACTGGTCGGCAGTCCACTTTTCTTCGGCACATTCCAGTTTTGGAATCGTCGCTTCTGTGTTTCTGTAAAATTGCGAATTCCTGTCATTTTTGTGCCTTTTATCCTCAGTCTCTCTTTCTGTTTCAAATGATCCCGGTGAAGATTTTCGTTCTGCGTCGTCACTCATTTTCTCACTCTCAAATGATTATTATTTTTGATTTATTTGACAGAAAGTATTATAAAAAAATAGAAAAGCAAATAATAATTTTATAGTTTTGTTATAATTTAACTAACTCAAAAACAAATCAACTTTTTATCTCAAGTGCTGTCTTTAAATTCTCGAGCCTCTCGACCGTCTGTTTAACTGTTTGTACGTCTGACCCGTATTTGTTTTTCTACAAGTAATTATCCAAACACCAACATACAAAAAAAGACAAACCTCCGTTTCAACTTGTTCGTAGATTTTATCTGCTTTGCTCAGCAATTTTTTGTTGTTCAATTTCGTTTTTTCCTTCTCATTTTTTTCTTTTTTGAGTTTTTCAATCTCGGAGAGGAGAGTGGCTTCTTGAGTTTTCAGTGATGCGAAGCTTTCCGACGCGAACGCAATCTCCAGTTGTGAGAGGTCCTCTTTCAATCTCATAATTCCAGACTTATATTGCCTGATCCTGTCGTTGAGTAGTTGAAGTTCTTCTTTGTCAATCTCCGTCTGCCTCGTCATCTTTGACGTCAAAAAGTTATACTCGACCTCCGCATCGGTCAAAACCCTAATATACTCATTTTTTTTCGTTTTTGTCTCTTCTTCTGTTTTTTCGATTGTGTCTTTCAGTCGCTGCGTTTGTGTTGCGCCACTCTCTTTTCCTTTTTGGCTATTCGTTTTACGCGACATCGAAATTTGAGGTGTTGAGCTTCTTGTTTTTTTTTAAGTTTTTTTCTCTTTTTATTTAACCATTTGGTATACTTTGAAATATCAAAAAGAAACTATAATAATCAACATTGTATTTATTATAATAGTATTATTTATTAAACTATTTAATTTTTTTTTGAAAAAAATAATCAATAAATCTCATTTATTGATGATTATTGCAGTTGGTCGTACTGTTCTCTTTTTTATACATTTGATTAACTTTGTGATTGTGACAAGCGTTTTGTTTTCGACTGATGAATTTACAAAATTCCCGTCTTGGAGTGTCGGGGTGTTTACTGTCCAGCTTTATTCTGTTGTAGAATCGTTACTTCAAATTTTCCTTTCAATAAAATTATTTAACCATTTAACAAGAAAATTGTTAACTCTTTTAACTCTGATTGGATTACTCAACGTTCCGCTCCTCGTAATTTCACTTTTCTCAATGTCTCAATTTCCGCCATTTCCCACGAATCGGCGTGTGACAATATTTTTCTTTGCAACAATGACAAATCTCATTCTTATGATCGAAGCTTCCATTTCCATTTTTTACTTTTTTTATGTAATCATCTGTTTTATCATTTTTGCGAATAAGACGTACCGTTCTGCCCCTATAGACCTATCAGATTCTCCATTTCCATTTTCAAGTCTTCCCAAGGAAGATACAATAAACGGGGAAATATTGTTTTCTATTGCGCCAGGCTCGACAAACCATTTTAGGAGGCGTTCTGTCTTTAATGATGTTAAACAACTTAAAGATATGGGGGTCAATGAGATTGTATCTTGTTTGACAACACGAGATTATGAGAGGCTCGGAATGAACACATATGAGGGGCTTCTCTTTGAAAACAATATCAAATTGGTCAAGTGCCCGATCGTTGACTTTTGGATTCCAGAGAGTGTTTCACTCTACGACAAAAAGGCTTTTGAAGTCTCACAAGACGTTTTGAATGGAAACAAGGTGTTGATCCATTGTAACAGCGGAAAGGGGAGGACTGGTCTTTTTGCAGGGGCTGTTTATTCCAAAATTCACCCAAACAAGTCGGGAAAGTGGTATATTAAATATATTAAAAGTCACTTAAAAGGCGCGTTTGATACTTTACTTCAAAGACTGTACTTCAAAATGTACATTGCACACTTGAATTGATTGATTCGAAGATTTTTTTGAGTCTTTTTTTAATAGTTATGACAACTTGATGCTAAATATAAGATTATTTTGTGTAACAAAAGAACTATTTCTTAAACATATTTTAAATTATTTTTAATTTAATTGTTATTTAATTTTATTAAATGCACCTGTTTTGATAAAATTGTTTCTTACTTCTTTATCATTATTATTTAGTTATTTCATCTTTCTTTTTACTAGATCTAATTATCAAATAAAATAATAAATTATTAATATGAAAATAGTTCAGTGTAAATTATCATTAGTAAAAATAATATGAAAACTAAGATGAGAAGTGTCTACTCTTCCCCAAAATAACAAAAGCCTCCTCACTTTGATTACAAAACTTCCATTTTTCAACAATAAACACAAATGTAAAACAAATTCTAAAATAACCAATAAATAAACTATAAAAAATACCATATCTTTATTTCACTTTCACCACGTCAAAGTCAGATAGTTCGTCTGGAACTCAATAACAGTTAATGTCCTCACCAAAGATAGGCATGAAGCTTGTTGATGAATCCTTTCTCTTTTGGGACAAGCAATTAAAATTTGTAAAACGAATTGGCACACTATCGGAAAAGTTTTCCGAAGAGATGACTTCTCACGCCAACTTTCTTGAGGAATTTGTTGTGTCATTAAACCCAAAACCAGTTCACATTGGTTTGTTTATTATTATATTATATATTTATTATAATATTATTATAATATTATCATTATATATTATTATTATTATTATACTATTACTTAATAGTTTGTTATTTAATTCATATGGTGACAAGAAGATATTCCATCATTCACAACAATTATTGAAGGCTTTAGATCTATTTGCGACACCTTTGTCTTTTTCCAAAAGCAGGTTCAAGACCTTTTAGTAAACCCAACAAAACTTGTCAACTCAAATCTCGAGATCTTCAAAAAAATACCAAAAGACTCGAAGAAATCTCAGATTGACGAAATGACAGCTTTTCAAAATCACAAGATTGACGAATACCTCAAAGTCCAAACGCCCCTTTTTTTCTTGGATTATTTTACCATTTTCACGTCGTTATATCAAGTTGGATCTACTTATTTGCCCAATACATCAAAATATTCAGAGATCTATAACCGAACGGTGAAGAACAATCTGAAACAAAGTGAACAAACAACAGAGAAGAATGTGATTTATCTCCAGCCATTAGAGAACATATTGCAGAACGAGAGTCGTACAAATAGGCAGATGCCGAGATCCATAGAAGAACTGATAAAGACGTTATATGTCCGAGGGGCATACACGAAGGGGATCTTCCGCGAGAACACTTTTGCGAACAAAGAAACCATCGATAAACTCACTTTATCGATTGGGTTTTTGGACATGACCGACCAACCCCCAGAAGTCTGCGCAGCGGTGTTAAAGAGTTACTTCCGAAGTATGCCCGACCCATTAGTTGACATTGAGACGGGTAATACTATATGTGAGACGTGGGAAGACGATAAAAAATTTGGTGTGAAAGAGAAACTCCTTGGCGCGAACGCGCTGGTCCAGTCGTTGAGTCCCGCACACTTGTCCTTGTTCAGAAATGTGATGAAACTTTGTTTTAAAATTCATATGTACAAGGACGCCAATTTGATGGACGCAAAGAATCTGTCGGTCTGCATCGCACCTTCCCTCGTCAGACTCGCGGAAGAAACGTTCGACAAGACAAAGAAACTCATTTCGTTCATCGAGTTTGTCATCACAAATTATCCAAATCTCTTCCCCGACGACGTCGATAAGGATTTGTATCGGAGAACTTTCGCACCAAATATGATGAGGCCAATGAGAGCTGCAGACACCAATGGAACCGATCAGAAAAGCTTGTTGATACAAGAAATGAAGGCTAAAAACTCAAACGACCCAACTCTGTGTTGCTTATCTCCACGTATCAAATTTGACCAAGCCGATAAGAAGGACACAATGAGCTCACTCTCTTTGGTTAGACGAAAAACTATCACGTCGAGACCCGTCAATTGCCAAGTCGATTTCAACGCGAGAAAACACTCAAACAGCATTTCAAGTAAAACACAAAAACGAGACGATTTGGGCGAAAAGAAAAATGAAAAGGACGACAGCGGGACCGACTCCGATAATACTGTTAGTCCCATTAAAAGTCCGAGGAGGGACAAGCCGGATCACCGGAAGTCGAAATTGTCTGCTTCTGTTGTCGCTTTCACCAAGAAATTGCACAGAAAG